AAAAAAAAAAAAAAAAAAAAAAAAAGGGGAAAAAGAGAAAAAAAAAAAGCCCCCAAACTTGTAAATTGAACGTCAAGGGAACTTTACACAATTTCAAAGGCCATAAATAATGATAAAGGGACCAGGCGAAGAGGCAAACCCAGGCAATTAATGGAGGTTCCCAAGCAAAGATCAAGTGGTTTGGAAAATAAAATTAAATGCAAAAAAAAAAAAAAAAGGAAAAAAAAAGGAGAGGGGTAAAAAAAAAAAAAGGAAAGGAGGGGAACTGACTGGGGGTGGGATCCCTCCTGCCTTTGGGAAGTTGAAGTCTTCCCGGGACAATGGTGCTGGCTGTGCCCCTGGGCTTGGCTTTGGGGGGGTTCTGCAGACAAACTCTGCCTCAAAGCGGCTTTTGGCCGGGGGGAGGGTCCCCCAAAACCCAAGGATCCGCAGGAGATCCCGCTCCTGCCTGGCCTGAAGCTCTTAATGAGCCGCGGCTCTTTGCCAGCTAATTGATGCCCGTGTTTTCCAGGGGAGGATGGCACATGTGGGCCCGTGCTGGGTGCCAGGACCGTGCTCTGTCCCCCAAATCCGACCCCTCTTGGCCTCACACCCTGCAGACCCCCAAAACTCTGCTCATTCCCCAGGACATCCCTCTCCACAAGCTTTTACCTCCCCAAAAAGGAGCTTTGTGGGATTGGGGTCCCAACCTCCCCCCCAGCCCTCGGCGAGCGGCATTTTCAGCACCCCCCCTCCCCAAAATACCCTTTCCCTGCTAATTCCCACTCCCAAAGCTCGTTGTGTTCCCGAGCGGGGGGCTGGGAGCTGCCCCCCGCCCGTGCCCGGATATCTGGGTCAGTTTATCCCCCAGCCACCATCTGAAAACGTTCTTTTCTCTGCAGAAACAATTACAGGGGAGGGGGGCAGCTTATTACTTTTGGATCTCGGCGCACTTTTCGCTGCCCATCATCCCCGGCTGGATGAAGTTTTTGGGGTGCTGAGCCCTGTTGGTCCCCCGCAGCAGGGATTTCGGGCTTTCCCCGGCTGGAGGAAGGATTTTTCCCGGAGGTGCTGCCCGGGGGGGTGGATGGCTCTGGAAGCAGCTGCCGCCGGGGATGGGGAGGGGGGGGTTGTGTGATGTGTGTGCACAAACACTTTTGGGGCCCATCTCCGACTTCAAGGGACTGGGAAAAGTTTACTTATCCAGCTCATTTCCATATGTCCTGGCTCCGTCTTGCGGAGGCCACCATATGTGCAGCAGCGCGGCGCTCGGGATTTTTCCCAGCCCCGGAGAGGGTGGGATTTTCCCCGTGGATTCTTCGTGGCCGCTGTTCCTCTCCCGTATTTTTCCCTTTCCCCCTTTTCCCGTGCTCCAGCAGGCGATCGCAGCCTTCTCCTGCCTCCCTCCCCTCCTTGTGCAGCACGGACGGAACCGAGCTAAACCCAAAATCCCTCCAGCATCATTCCCAAACCGAGCGGACGGGGAGCAAAGTGAGCGAAAAGGGGGAAAAATTCTTTTAAAAATCCCTCTTTTTTTTGTTGTTTTTTTTCCAGGAAAACCCTTCTGGATTGCGGGAAGGGCAGAGATAATTAGGCACGGTAATCCGGCGGGGCATGGAAATGTGTACCAACACCCCGCTCCTGCAGCTGTTTTTATTGTCAGCCCCCTTCAAAATTTGCCCACAAACAAGTGCCTTTGCAGGACGGGAGTATTATTTCGGGCAAGAATGGCCTTTTTGTTCGGCACATAATTAGCTGATTTTTCTCCCGGAGGGGAAAAAGAAAAAATCCCAACCCCCCCCAAAAAAACCCCTGTGCGATCCCTGATTGTGGCAGGAGCAAGCGGAGCGTGATCGCGCCTGGGAAGTGGAACAGGAACGAGGGGAGCCCCACGGAGGGACCCCCACACCTCAAGAGCCGTTCCCAGGGGGGCTAAACCTGGAGATCTCGTGGAAAACAAAGCTCCAGAGGGTCAGGACTGGTGAGGGGAGCAGCTTTCCCCCCTCGGCTGGAGCCGGTTTGAGATGTGGCACCGAAACGCCGCTCCAGAGTCACCCGGAGCGGGGAGTGCTGAGGAGCAGGTGGCTTCTGGCAGCTTCTGTCCCCAAAAAACCTCAGCAGGGGAGGAGGAGCAGGGATGCTGGGGCAGGTTTTGTAGGGTGGGTGTGACTCTGGGTTAAAGAACTCCCCAAATCAAGGCAGGGAGGGGACGCATCTTTCCGGAGCGAGGAACAGAAAGGAGCAGTGAAGGAAGGCTGGGATGCGCTCCAGCCTTTCCAGGTGGGAATCCACAGGGCACAGCATCCCTCCAGCTGGGCCTGGGAGCTGCTTCGGGCACCTCCAGGCTGGATTCCCTCGGGATCGGTGCCCATCCTCACAGAGGGGACAGCTCTGATTTCCAGCAGCCCATAAAACCCAGGGACTTTCTCCAATGAAAAAACTCAGCCTTCCCCAGGCTCTCTCGAGCTGATTCTTGCATTTACCGGGGAAATTTTAATTACGTGGGAAACGTCACCGAAATCGCCTCACCCTGCAGTGCTTTTAAAGTCTTTTTTATTTTCTTTTTAGGAAAGGGTGGTGAGACCCTGAGCAGAGTTACCCCCCCCCTCCTCCCCCCCCCAAAAAAATCAGTGAGTTCTTAATGATGCAGGCATCAGGTGCGAGCCAAAATCAGGGATGCAGCCGGGGGGAAGGGGGAGACAGTTCCGTGCATGGCTCCAGGATTTTGGGAGGTGTGGGAAGGCAGGGTTTGCCCCCTGGCTGTGCACCGAGGGATGCACCCCCGCCCCACGCGTGCCCGAGGGGAAGCTCCTCCCTCCTCCCCCCTTCCCTTCACAGAGGGGGGAAAAAAAAGCATAAAAAAAGCAAAAAAGCAAACAAAAAAACAATCCCCAAACCTCTCATTCGCCGCTTAATCCCATTAACTCCTTCGCGTGTTCCCGTTTGAACTCCTTCCAGCCCTCCCCGGAGGATCCCCCCACTTCCACTCCACGCTTCTTATTTTTTTTTCTGTGCTTTTTAATTTTTTTTTTCCCCTTTCATCCTCCCTTATTCCCCCTTTTTCCTCCCTTTTTCTCCTCCCTCCGCCACCGCCCTTTTAACAAACTTGAAGGTGCTCGGGATTTTCGGGTAAGGAAAAAAAAAAAAAAGAAGCTAAAAGGGTAAAAAAATAACACGGTGCAGAGTAAAAAATAAAAAAAATTAAAAATTGACTTCCATAATCCCAGCTCTTATCCCGAAATTCGTTCGGATAATGGGAAATTGGCTATTTCAAAAATTATTTTAAATGGAGACATATTTAAACAACCGGAGTCCGAGTATTTTAAGAGCCTTATAGGAGACCTCAATCAAACACATCGCCACGGAGAGTTTAGTAGTGACAGACCCTCTCTCATTCCCGGCTTTTTCTGGAAGCGAGTTGAGACATGCACCGGTTTAAAAAAAATAAAATAATAATAAAAAAAAAAATTAAAAAAATTCCCGAATAAAAGTCTAAAATATTCCCAGGTCAGAGGGGCACCGTCTCATTAAAACCAGCGCGGTCCTGAAACTGCACTGCAGACATTAAAGTGCAGTATTTTTCAATTAGAGCTGACGAATTCAATCAAAATTCCATAGATTAGGATGAAATGAGGCATGGGTCATTTACAGGGGAATTTAATTGCAGAGCCATTAGACAAATAGTATATTTGCCATTCTCACATTATCCATCATTTTAGACATCAATAGAAGGAGCAGCATCTTTACTAATACAGCAGCACTTCCCAATCTCTGCCTGTAAACACTCCCTTTCCCCACAGCTCCTGATTATATCTGATTTCATTTAAAGCCATGGGGGATTATAAATGTTCCTGCAATCAGGTTCATTAGGACTTCAAAAATCTCATTTCTGATTCGTATCGCTTTGCGGATCGCCCAGCGCTTTAAAAAAAAAAATATATATATAAATTAAATAAATAAATAGATTAAAAACTAAAAAAAAAAAAAAAAAAAAAAAAAAT